GTGGACAATGAAAACTCCTCCACAAGTAGCCTGTTGGATACTGACATCGAAGAGGTAAATACACAAATGTGCATTGCACAGTTTTTATCTTTACTAAATAAATGCCTACCCTTTAAATTAAGTCTTTCAAGTCATCTTTTTACGTTGTTAACCTGCAGAACGAGCATGACCGATCAGATTCCAAAGCAAACATGCTTGATGCTGCAAGGAGTGAAGATGAAAACGATGTGGACAGTGAAGATTTGATGGAGGGCAACACTAGTGGAGAAAACACATCTGAATTTTCTGAGGTATGTAGTAAGTGGTTCAATGACATGGTGTTAGTAGTTAGTGTAACAGCTTATGTAAAAAAGTCCGGTTCATGAAATGAGTGCATTAATAGTCAATATAAAATAGCTATGGGCTAGCTATTTCCCATGGATAGATAGAAAGCTATTTGCTCTGTCTAAATCACCTAGAAATCATGTTTTAGGATTTTGTTACATTATTTGACACCTTATTTTATAGTTGTGTGAAGTAGAGTTGAGGAACCAGGAAGTAGTGCAAGGCTCTCTATTCTATTTTAAATATAACACTGTGTGTAAATGTGGAATTCAGTAGGGCTGGTTCCAAATACTCGACCGTTCAACATTCGAGTTTTTTTCCACGGGCCTGATCTCCACTGACAGCAGTGAACGTAACACTCCAGCTCACATCAAAGGGAAAACAATGAAGCCCTTAGCTTTGTGGGAGCACTTTAAACTGAGTGATGACAGCAGCTGTATGGAAGAGAACTAGTAAGGATATTTCGCCACCATTAGGACTGATGTCACATCATGTATGGGTAATTAGGCTCTACAAAAGTTTAACGTATAGGTACACACACAGATAGCTAAGAGGGCTGGTCAATAAAACTATAGTTATCGCAATGTACTTTTTTCAATAACAATATAACAAATGTTCATTTTGTTTACTTAAATCATAAACGAATTAGGACTTATTTTTTTATTAAGATGTTTATTTTGTTAAAGAAAAAGGACTGAGCGTTGAGCTTTGGTTGTTTGTCTATGTGTGGCCCTGCGATGGACTGGCGACCTGTCCAGGGTGGACCCCGCCTTTCGCCCAATGTCAGCGGGGATTGGCTTCCCCCTGTGACCCTGTACGCAGGATAAGTGGTTGATGATGGTGTCATGGGGCTACCCCATGCCTTCATTGAAGTCAGCAGTGTTGGTCTTGGCATGCTAAGCTAATCTTAGCTGAGCATTAGCATAGGACGGTTACCCTTAGCATATGGGCTAGCATCAATGGACACATGGCCTGTCATTTCATGTCAGTTCATATAAGTACTGGTCAGAAGAGTTGAAATCATGGTTGGATAAATACAACACATACACAGTTCATTTCAAGTAATTTATTTTAGCTTATGGGATTTACCCAAGGTCATTCAAGTGTTTGTTTTATTCATCTGTTCTCCTCATCAAGCAGGGATCTGGGCCGAAGGGGCAAACAGGAAATGATGGAGTGTGGAGTCATTTATAGGGAGAAGACCTGGAATGGTCCAAGTGTGAGCCAGTACAGAGGGGTGTATGGGAGTATCTTAAAGTTGCTCTTTTGAGAAGCTTTTGTTTAGCCGGTAACATTTCATTTCTGGTTTTCTAGTTGATTTGTTGTGTGGTGATGTAGCCAGAGATGTGTTTGATGGTTGAGATAACATAATGCTGTTTAATTGATTGTCAATTAACTTTGGTTTGTCTTGTAGGAGGGGCTTCTGGTATAAAGGAAGGAGGCAGAGGCCCCCTGGAGAGAGAACAGCTTGGGCCTGGAAGGGCACATGTGCTGGAGCCCAATAGTCAGGGCTGATATAGGTTTTGTTTTGTGTAATCTCAGTTTGTAATGATGATTTGAATAGTATATACTTAGTTTTCTCGTTGTTTGTTTTTGTTAATTTTTGATATATTTTTACAATACCTCACTTGCACAACTGCACTTTCCACGCATCTGGTTTAAAAATAAATTGAAGCACCAGGTGAAGAACTCATGTCCATGTCTCCTCCTTCCACCATGGGGCCAAACCTTACAGATGGATGGATGGTTCTACCTCAGAATTGTGAATTGATCCACTGTCTGGCCTCGTGTTGACCATAAAGAAGAGTTTAAACCACAATTAACCATTAGGTTTCTTCAACTTTCACTCAGGAGCACAAATCAAAAGAAACAATGATTTGATACTTACCGTGATAATTAGCGATATTGAAAGATATGCAACTTTTTATATATAACATTTTTGTCCATATCGTCCAGCCCTAGTAGCTACTCTTTCTTTTGGGATTGCAGCTTGATAGGATATGTTGAAAGTATTATCAGTTTTGTTATAATCCATGGCAAGCATTTCAAGAAAATTACATTTGCTAAAATTAAACACAGTGTGCTAGACTGATAGTCCTGATTCGCTCTCTCTCTTTCTCTCTCTCTCTCTCTCGGTCAGTGAAGACACAGCAGATACTGGTGACAAGCCCTTGTATCCTGGTGCACCTCTTTCAAAAGGGGAAAGTGTATTGATGCTGATGTCCTATCTGTTACGGCACAATTTAACCGGCGAGGCACTTACACACTTACTGGAAATGTTTAACATAATGTTTCCAGGTCTGATCCCATCTTCACATTACATTTTCCACAAAGAATTTGGAAGTTCATCTAAATTTGAAGTTCACTTTTATTGTGAAAGCTGTTTTAAATACTTTGGCATTAGCACAGACTGTCCCTCCCAATGTGACTCTTGCAACACAGTATTTGATGAATATATTGTGTTGCCCCTGTATGCACAGATTAAGCAACTTCTGCAAGAGCATGGTGTCAGTCTTAATGAAAAAACTAGAACATTTGCGGTCCTCTCTGACATACAGTCTGGTGAAGAGTATCAAAATTTATGTGACAGTGGCATTCTTGGAAAAGATGACTTGACGCTTATTTGGAATTGTGATGGCGCACCAGTGTTTAAAAGTTCTAAATGCAGCATTTGGCTAATTCAGTGTCAGGTAATTGAACTGGGACCAGAAGTGAGGAAAAAGCATATTCTGATGTCAGCATTATGGTTTGGCCCAAGTAAACCATCCATGTTAACATTACTAACACCATTTGTTAAAGAGGCCTCATTATTAGAGACTGAAGGGATTGAATGGCAAGACGTACAGGGAAACAATCATGTATCCAAAGTGTTTGTGCTGCTTTGTAGCTCTGATTTGATGGCTCGTCCATTGCTTCAAAACACAAAGCAGTTTAATGGCTTTTACGGCTGTGACTTTTGCTATCACAAAGGTGGTAAATCCTATCCATATGATCGACCTGAACCCCCACTTCGAAAGGAGAGAGATCATTTCAGTCATGCAATGTCAGCTACAGTGAATGAGCCAGTGTTTGGAGTCAAAGGGCCATCTCCTTTAATGAAGCTTTGTCACTTCCAAATGATCAATGGTTTCATTCCTGAATATCAACACAATGTGTGCCTTGGAGTCACTCGGCAACTGACTACGTTGTGGTTTGATACAACAAACAGTGAAACCCCCTGGTACATTGGCAAACAAAGTGAAGAGGTTGATTTGCGACTTGTAAAAATAAAACCTCCTGTTGAGATAACTAGGACACCAAGGTCAGTGAGTGAAAGGAAGTTCTGGAAAGCGGCCGATTGGCGAGCATTTCTACTCTTTTATGCTCTGCCTGTACTGAAAGGCATACAGATTTTGGAATCATTTGTTCCTATTGGTGTTTGGCATATATACATTACTACAGGATAAGATCAAGACTAGAAGCATCCTGATGTCAGAACTGGCTCTTAAAAAATTTGTCATTGAATTTCAAAGACTATACGGGAAAGACCACATGACTTTCAACATACACTTGCTCACACACATCACACAGTGTGAAACACTGGGGTCCATTATGGGCAACACCAAGCTTTTGAATCCAATATGGGGACTCTATTGAAGTATTTTCATGGATCACAGTATGTTCCTTCACAAATAGCTAGAAAATTTCTGTTGTGGAGAGAATAGAAAAGGCAAAGCATACTATCAAAAGTGCAAAGGTTCAATCATTTGTTGAAAAACTATTTTAATAAGAGAAGAACAGAAAAATGTGAAGTACTAAATGAAAGTGTCATGGGTTTTGGGCATCCCCCTTTGCAAGAAATATCACAGCTTCATATAGGCTTGCCATTACTCAGTTATGTGGAAATCTAAGTTACTGCCTCTGGTCCTACAACCGTTTTTTGGTTGATGGAGTTCTGTATCACAGTCATAAGTATGACAGACTAAAGAAAAGATACAACAGTGCTGCATGCTTGAATGATGGAACATTGTGTTTAATTAATGACTTAGTCATTTTTAAACAAAAGTGTACACATCAAAGCCCTGCATCTTGTGCATGTACCAAACATTGCTGTGTTTTAGTTGAGGTACTTGCTCAATCCAGCAGACCTTTATGTAAAGATTCACAAATAAATACTTTCATAAATGAGGTAAAGAAGACTGGAAACTTCAGTGCCATCTGGCCTGATATGATAACAATGAAATGCATTGTTGTCGAAATAGTTGAGAAAATGTACATTATACCTTTGCCAAATCCATATGAACGGGACTAAACGAGTCATGAGTCATATTCAGTGTTGTAGCCAATGATTTATGTGGGCCTAGTACATAATGAGATGATGTTTTGTGATGATATTTTCAAAACTACTTTAACCAACTTTAAAACTACATGTACTGTGAGTATATAATGAACTGGTAATGGTGTATGGCTCCTTTCACACCATGAACAAAATTGTCATTAAAATCGGCCAAATATTTATCTGTTTCTGTGTGGGTTAATAACACTACATAAAAGATTAGGTTCAGTTCCACCTCTGCACTAAGCACTTACTCTAAGCGATTCCACCCCAAAGCTGACCTGTTACCATGAACTTGAGCATGTTAGTTTAAAAGATGGTGTGTAAAACATTTGCTGGAGTATTACCTCAAAGAAGCCCATTTCATGTGAAAATTATTTAATAAGGTTACAAGAGTAAACACAAGTACAAGCCAAGTACACTTAAACTTTCAGTATTCAGAAAGAATACTTTTCTTTAGTATATCTTGATCAAATGATTAAGTACAAGTATATGCCAAATATACGTTTCTGTATACTTGTCAGTATAAGCCAAGTATACTTAAGTATAATTTTGTTAAGTATATATCTGAAAAGTATATTGAAAGTAGACTGAAAGCACACTCTCTTATTTTTAGTTTAAAACAAGTATTCTAATAGCACACTTGAATAAACTTATTTTTCGTAAGGGGAGGCCAAAAGCTTGTCTATGAACCCTTTCCTCATGAAGACATACAGGAACAAGTCTGCAAGAGGACTGAACCTAAGAAATGTTAGAGACAGAAAGATGAGTCTGAAGTCTACCAATCCGTCAGTGTATAATTTCAAGAACCAAATGATGCTGGGCAGGAACAGCAGCGTGTAAATAAGCAGCACCAGAACCAAAATTCCCACAATTCGTCGTTTTTCATCAGAGGGGACCGAGATGGTAGCAGACAGGGCTTTGAGGGTCCCAACCAGGAAGAATATTAACAGAGGGAAGGGAAGGAGGAGGAGGAGGGCGGCAAAGAGTGTGTGTGTGACATCAGTGAAATAGAAACAGACGCCACAGACAGCAGAAAGGACCCAGACCAGGACACAGACCACCACAGAGGTCTTGATGGATCGTCTGCAGCGGTACCACAGTGGGTGGGCGATGACCAAATACCTGTAATACAAGATGGACACAAAGTCTTTGAGGAGCTTCAGAGTTATAAACTAATATAATGTTCAGACACAGAAGGAGCTCCACACATACTGGATAGACAGACAGATACCTTTCCAGGGAGATGCAGACCATGAAGTAAACACTGGCAAACACAGCAGAGAGGTAAATATATATGAAGATTATCTTTATATTCCTATCCACATTTGGTGCCACCTCAACGATCATGTAGCAGAACTGAATCAGGTCAGTAATGAGAAGGTTGATGACGTAGATGGGAGCAACTTGATCACTTCTCACCTGCAGGAAAACATTGGTAAAAGTCAACAAGCAGTTGGAAACATGTTGTGAAGTCCACCTCCTCCCAAATCTGTCATCTTGCTCTGCCCAGCAGCTGCAGTCAGAGCCATTTCTGACTTTTTCATCCAACAGAAATCTCAGATGTGACCCACTGGCCAATCAGTGCAGGAACAAGACTAAGGGCCAGATTTCCTGCAGCTTCTGCAGCAGTTTTTCAGCCACAGATATGAAGCGTTCTGGCTCAAACACATGAGCTGGATTTATCCAGACTGGAGTCGCAGTTTGAGGCTCATGTTTGTGTTTGCAAGGTGAGCCTCTCTCCTCCTTGAATCTGCATCTCAGGGAGGATTGCACAAATAAAATCAGGACGGAGATGGGACCAAACAGGAGACAAGACTACCCTAAAACATGGAGATTAGACTAAGGACTAAGACAGACCATAATGAGAAAATAGAGAAGTACACCGAGAAGGAAAACACTACACATGAACTAAAGCACAGGACCAAGAACTAAGATGAGCGATAAGACAGTTACAAAGAAAACTTAAAGCGAATGAGCATAAATAATAAACTAGACTACAAAACTCAAAACCATGACAATATCAAATAAACACAGGAAAAACAACAGCACAAAACCAAATCCTAACATCAGCTCGTTTGTAGTCCAGCCCTTCACTTACTTGTAACGCATCATAAAGCTCGCCAAGCGGCTAGCGGGGTCAGACACGCCCTCAAACCAAGCTAGACTGAGCGGAGGACCTTTGGCCCGACTCACCTTTGTTTGGGTTTCCGTTGTAGAAATGTTGCACCTGTACCTGCTTCCAGGTACTTTCTTTCATATCACCTCACCTCTGTTGAGGTTCCAAGCGAGCTGAGGGAAACTAATGTAACGTGAAAACACGACAGACTGCTGATTGGTCAGACAGAATAGTCACTATTCACTGCATCATCATTGCTGCACCAGACAGAGGCAACAGAAAGTTTTATATTTTACAGTTTTCGTATGTAATTTCATCACTAAATCCACTTCTGAGAAGTTTTGAGGTGAGAAATCAGCTGTGTAGATTTTGAATATTGACAGTTTCACGAGAAGTGATGGCGGAACAAAAATGTGCTTGATATTTCGGAGTTGAGGAGCTCTGCGAGAGGCTGCGGGGGAAGCCTGATGTGACCCGCGGGAGGAGCGTATTCATGTCATCAGTGCAGTGTCACATCTGTCTGCGTAACGCGTGTGTCAGGTCTCTCCGCCGTGGCTGCCTGAAGCTTCACTTTCCCTGTCCTCGCGACTGTAACTTCCACTAACCACAAGAAAACAAAAAGGGGAAAAGAGCACGAGTGTTACTTTGTGGCTGTAACAACGCTGTTGACACAATGTCCAGATAACCTGCAGCCCCTGCTGGAGCAGGAGACCCCTAAAACGATCAGTATTTAATGTTTAATTAGACTATAATCAAAACTCGTGTTTTTTTTTGTAATTTTTGGGACAAACCGGAAACGGGTCGGGACAACTGCTCGTAATTCGGTACTGTCCCCGATTTTTCGGGACGTCTGGTGACCCTACTTAAGAGCTGGTGTGTCGCATTGAACATTACGTTGCAGCAGTTGTGTGTGGCGTCGCTATGACGACCTGCTACGTACTATCTCTGGGTTCTACCTGCAATGGAAAACGGAGCAGGGCCGAGTAGAGTCGAGTCTATCGATTTGCACTATGGTAGCATTTTTCGGCAGGGCAGCATAGATGGAAACACCGGCAACAGTTCAATGTTTAGTCCTGATGGTAAGATGTGGAACAATGATGTTGTGGACTTGAGAGTAACTTCTACCATCTGCTAGCTTACGGTCTCAGTCTGAAGCGGCTTTGATTTGGATCACACTACCATGTTTCTTACGACCCGCCCTTCTCCGCATGTGCAACTCCCAACAAAGATTTTGTACAAGTAAGATGCATCACTCTGTAGCTCAAGAGCGGAGCGTACAACACACAGGGTGAAAAGAGGAGCTGCAGCAATGTGCAGTATGAGGGAAATATGCTGTTTTTTGAAAATTAAACCATGTAAACCTGTTCTGGTATAACCCCTAAATAAGATTTTAAACCTGAAAATGAGCAGAATACCACCTCTTTAAGCTCAACAGTTTAAGAGAAGGCTGGAATGGAGCCACACATGGAAACTGCATGTGTTTAGGGTCCAATCAGCTTCATGGACATTTGAATTCTGGAGTCAATTATTCCTGTCAGGTTATAGATCATTCCAAGCCTTTGTCCCAGCCCCCTGACACCTAGCCCCCAAACCAGATCCAGATCCTTTACAGACAGACAGACTGTAGGACAAACACACCACACAGACAGGAAATAAATAACTCTCAGTCAGAATGTACATACCATAGAATAAAAAGCATAGATGGCCATGAGGGTCAGAGGAAGGCCGACAGCAACGACTATGTAGGTCACCACATATATCACGCTGGGCTCAAAGTAGTTGGAGGTGGTGCTGCTGTAATCGTAGCTTTGGTTCTGTGAGCTGCTGTTAATGTGGAGACCTTCCATTCTTCAGAGTGAAACCTGTTTGAGAGATCAGGTTATTAAAGGGAGCAGGTTTTTAATATCTACCTAACATTGTTCAGTGACATCACTAAAGCTGTGAGGTGAAGTTCACACAAACACAGTGTACCTATAGTTTACCCACAATCATATCAAATCACAAACTGCTGTCTTTCACTTTTTCAGTTTGTTACATTTAACATTTATTTAGTCAAATAAGAACAACAAGTATGTTTAGAACTGATTGAGAAACATTCATCTTATTTCACTGAATGTTTTAAATATTGAGTCATTAACTGACTGTAACCTGTCTCCTCCTGAGACTTTTCATCAACAATCATAAAATCCTGAAAGACATTACTATAACAATAGACATAATAATAATAATAATAATATAATGGTGATAAGAATTTGTACAAAGATAAAGACACAAAATCCTTTGTAAGCATGTTCTACATATCTGGACTTATTTATAGGTTTAATGCTAAATTGTTCATGCTGTCTCTCATTTTCATTATTCTTTCTTTACCTCATTTTATTTAAATTAAATTAAATTTTATTTATATAGCCCCAAATCACATCAACAGTTATCTCAGAGTGCTTTTCATAAAAGAGCAGGTCTAGACCGTACTCTGTGATGATATTTACAGAAACCCAACAGTTCCCTCCGAATGAATTTAAAATACTAGTAATAGTGTTTTAAGGTAAGAGAGTAAAAAAACAGAGGAAATCAACCCTAACTGGTTTAACATCAGTATTCTGTCCACCTACAGTCTAAAGCTGTCTGCTTGTTCATTTATCTGTTTAATTCGCTCTACATAGAAGAAAAAAGGAATCTGACTAAATGTACCTGGAAAAGCTGCCAGACCACCTGAATGAGTTCCTCCACCAGAGCCCGATGTTTTGTCCTCTGCAGCCAAACCTCAAACATGGCCAGTGACAACATGCAGCAGGGTGACGATGATATATTGCTGCTCTTCTGAGACAAGGGAGTGTCTTATCCATACTGTAACTGCCAAATCTGGGCAAGTTGGGTCAACATACTAGGTGTGTTTCATAATATCTCACATCAACACAGAACGAACCACATTGATCAATACCCAAGATATCTCCAAACACAGGACATCAAAATGTGTGATTCAAACTTGTCCCAAAACTATGATCAGCATCACAATGGCACACATACACCACTATACTCTTCCACAAACACAACTCTGACTCACACAACAGGCTGATAATAATCTATATCTGCTCTTCTAAGTAAAATCAATCCATGTAATGACTGAAATGTTGGCAGGTAGATTGAAGATTAGAGATTCAGGCCATGGAACCAAAACCAGGTGAGGTCAAGGAGGGCCCAAGCCGAAGGGTAGAACCTAAAGGCAAAAAGACACAAATATAGCACTTTACAATTTGTAGTCTGATACATTCAGCTTCCAGGTTGACACCTCTCCCTCCCAATATGGTTAATAAAAGGTCCCCAAATGCTAAAAAACTTTGGGTTGCCATCAAGACACAGTGTCATTTAACCATTTAAGGAAAGGAGGCAGATTTCCACTCCCTCAGGATAACCCTTTATGCAATAACCATATCAAACATGAGAGTTTGTTGTTATGCTGGAAGGAGAGAAAACAAGTGGTTGGAACAGCCTAATATCACAGAGAGACTGTCAGGGATTAGCTGTCTATTGTATATGCAACTGTACACATTGAACATGTCATCCCAACAGTTCTTGAGCTTGGGACAGGCCCAGAAAAGATGTCCAAGTGACATCAGACTCACACACTCAAGCTGCCTAAAAAGTGCTCATTGCTTACCTTATTAGGGGTTATGTGGGTGGTGATGGTGCAGTGGGTAAGACACATGCCTTTGGTGTGAGAGACCCGGGTTCAATTCCCCACTGGGACAGGTCCACCAATGTGTCCCTGAGCAAGACACTTAACCAGAGGTGTGCGACCTCTTTTGGGGTAGTTATGTTTCAGTATTATTTGTGTGAAGAGATGAGCGATCTGTGTGTAATCTGAAAATATAAAACACTTTGCACAAACACAAAATGAAGATTTGTAAACTCATTTAATATTTTGCAAATAGAAAACAAATTCCACAAATAATAAAAATATCTGTGAATATATTTAATAGTTTACAAATAAATCAACCACATTTGTGAATATCTTCCTAACATTTACAACTTTCAAACAGGCGTTTGTGAGTCCCACCTGTATTTGTTGATCTCAGTTCTTCACACACGGAGTTTTGAAACAAACTTTCCACCGATGGAAAGAAAATCGACTCGTGTCATTCGGCTGTTTTTGGAGACCACGTGATAATGCCTGCTGATGACGTCATTTCCACATTTCAAAGTAAAACGGCCTCCGAACTGTCTGAATGTGCGAGCTTGTTACTATCGCGAAGGATATATCAGCTGCTGTTTCCACCAAATGTGAATGCAGGCTGAAATTCAACCGTGTTGTTGTGTCGGGAGAGCAGCGGTGAGTAAGAAATAGTATAATTATATAACAATGTCTTAAGCTATGAGCACAGGGAAAGTCCGCTAGCCGCTAGGCTAACGTTAATTTCAGCAGTTTGAAAATGCCACAGGCTCTAGCTAATGATGGTGTTTTATCAAAAAGCAAACTAAGACTATGAGCCGAATGTTTGTTAAAGGTTGGTGTGAGCTATGTTCGATGCATGTTAGTGGACTGTACTGAATTTACATTCAATATACTTTTTTCTCTAGTATGGCCAAAAGCCGAGTGGACATCGGTGGTAGTTCCTGTCCTGTGGTCAACAGCAGCATCAAGAACAACAACGAAATTAAGAATTTATAAGTCCTTAAGATATAACGCTAACTTTCACCGTCACGTTCTACCGCTCGCGCTCTCTCTCTCGCTGGCACACACAGGGAGCCAAACCAGCGATGTGTTGCTGCACAGTGTGCCGATGAAATCAACGTTGCAGTCATATTGATGAGCGTGTGAAATTTAAGTAGCATGGTCATTCATTCATTCATCAGCAGCGGTGAAATGCGTCGGATACAGGGGCAACACTGGTCCCAGCGCTACTCACATGTAGCACGCCGTTGACCTCACGATGCCGCCCACCGCTGTAACGCAAACAGCTTCACCAGGTTGTATCGCTCCCCGTGGCCCTTGTTGAGATTACTCAAAGTCTTTACATGAGTAACGTTAGCTATTCAAATATGTATTATTGGTCAGTCAGACTTATAAAACCTTCAGACTTCCTTATTTGACATTTTAAATATGCAGAGGCAGCACACAAATGCCACAAATGATTTAATTAACTTTGTTACTGTGTTATATTCAAAGTAACTGAAGCTTTCAGACCATGTGCAAAATAAAGCTGTGTAGACTCTGAAAGCAGAGTTTAGTTTTTCACCATAGACAGAGCTCAGTCTGCTGTTTGAGGGTTTCCAGTCAGACTCCTGTAAGCCCCCTGTAGCCAAAATCACACCCTTGTTTTTTGTGTTCATCTTTGATTTCATTTAAAAAGCACGATCCACTTTTGCTCAGTGTCTGATATTCATGTGCTGATTCAGAGCAAAGACACACTTCAGCATACACAATATCAAAATCTTAATACGGAACATAAAAAGTCACACTATGAATGTGACGGTTATTATTTTCATCACTTCAGGTTCTTCGTGATTCTGATGACTTCCCAAGAGGTGATGTTGTCACCACTGATGAAGAGTCTCTTCAGGCTGTAAAAGCACATGCTGAGACAGAAGAAGCTGGAAAACTGACTGTTCCTTACCTTTGCAATTACTCCTTTTGAATAGAATTTAAATGTTTCATTCGTGCTCGTTTGAAATGCCTTATAAGATGATATAACAATGCATTGCTACTTTTCACCAGGTAGCCTCACAGTGATTGACTGATATTGATTATTATGTGCAGGTGTTGCACAGTCCAGAGCAGCAGGTTTCCTGGGACACTGTAAGGTAACAGGAAGAGGTGCTTCCACAGTGGCTGGTTTAAACAGGATCCATGACTTCCAGCCAAGACTCTGCCTACTGTTAGATTACCTCATATCACAGTAAATACTTATTTTCAGGTAAGGTGTGTTTGGTTTATGTTACATTTTTTTTTAGAAAAAGAAGCTTTATTTAGGTTTGATCTGTGGCTCTGCTTTGGATTGTAAGCCTCAGCTGGTTGTATTTTATCCATTCATCATCAACCACTTATCCTGCGTACAGGGTCGCGGGGGGGCTGAAGCCAATCCCAGCTGATATCGGGCGAAAGGCGGGGTACACCCTGGACAGGTCGCCAGTCGATCGCAGGGCCACACATGGACAAACAACCACTCACGCTCACACCTAAGGACAATTTAGGGTAACCAATTAACCTAGCCTGCATGTTTTTGGACGGTGGGAGGAAGCCGGAGCACCCAGAGAGGACCCACGCAGACCCGGAGAGAACATGCAAACTCCACACATGCGTTTTATTTATATTGTAATTATTTATTTAAATAAATAGTCAAATTACATGTATCTTTTTAATGATTATTCAGTTTACCTGATGTTATATGCTGATTCATTCTCTCCAATGAGGATGGCTTTTAAAATGTGGAACTGACTTTTCCTGAACGATTACTGATTTAAAAATGGATGTTTTGTTAAAATGACCAGAGGTTCGGAGAAACTGTAACAGGAATCAAAAACTGTCAAATATTAAAACAACAGTCTGATATTGAAAACATTTAATTATTATATACAACATCTTCCATCAAACTCATTGACTCATTGGGGAGACGTCCGTTTTTGCTTGTGATAAGCTAGCCCAAATCACACCATCAAAACTTCTGGTTTCACATTTAAAAAATCCTGCCACCACCTTCATACTATATACTTGTTTTGTGAAGCACATGCACGAAGGATTGAATTACAATCAGCAATGGTTTTACATGTCAACATTAGGTTATTGCAGCAAATGGACAGCAGAACAACAAAGAAGCCCCCTGCTGTGAAGAAGCCATTTGAGTAACATACATTAGTACGTACCACCGGCTATTGTGGCACTAAAAACTGAGTTGATGGCTCACTATGACTCTGAACTGATAGTAAAACACATACTTTTGTGTTTGTATGTTGTATTTACCATGGGGTTCATGCCCTTCCCTTCTCATGTTCGCCTGTTTGTCCCTCTCATCTGTGTTCTTGTTAGGGCCCGAGCACGACCGTGCGAGGTCCCTATAGAATTTGCTCGGATTATATATTTTTTTTAGGGCCCGAGCACGACCGTGCGAGGTCCCTATTAAATTTGCTCGGATTATTATTAGGGCCCGAGCACGACCGTGCGAGGTCCCTATTGAATTTGCTCGGATTAAATTTTTTTTTAGGGCCCGAGCACGACCGTGTGAGGTCCCTATTGAATTTGCTCGGATTATTTATTTATTAGGGCCCGAGCACGACCGTGCGAGGTCCCTATTGAATTTGCTCGGATGAAAAGTTGTGCTATTTGCGAGTTTTCGTCAATGGCCGTGTCCGTGGCGTCGATGATTCGCCATGAAACAGGAAGTTGTTGTAACTTCAGTGTACATGCTCACATCTGGACCAAACTGTACATGTAGGATGAGAGTCCCGCCCTGAACACATGTACATGCCGACATTCACCCACAGTCATAGCGCCACCTGCTGGCAACAGAAAGTGACCTTTAACGAAGCAGCCCCCGCCGCACGTTTCACCTACGTGCACGAATTTTCTGTGGTACGTGTATCTTGTCCAGACGCACAAAAAAGTCTCTTGGAGCCATAGCCTAAACCCAACAGGAAGTCGGCCATTTTGAATTTTACGTCAAATTTTGGATGATTTACACACTTCGTACTTTAACAAACTCCTCCTAGGGATTTAGTCCGACCGACCTCAAATTTCTGCTGTGCCTTCTAAAGGCATTGAAGATGAAAAGTTGTGCTATTTGCAAGTTTTCGTCAATGGGCGTGTCCGTGGCGTGGCGTCAAAGAT